TTTTAGAAAAAAATCCTTCCGTTTTCGAGTTCATATTTTTTTGTTCGTCTGCGATATTAGCATAAGTTAATGTGCGCTATATTGCAAATTGTTGGCTGCTTCTCATGGTCTTTATAACATTCAAAGATGTATATTCTTCAGGAAGTCGTAATGCGTCAAATTGGAAATTGGCAAGACGGCCATTATTTTTGCATCAACCTAATGACTGAGATTGGGCAGAGGACGAAAGGACAACACGGACCTTCCACAACATGCTTTGGCGGATGGGAAATTCAACAGACGGAAAAGGACATACGAAACCCTATTCATAACTAAAGTATTCTTCATCTTCTCTGAGGCAATCTTCGTTCTTAAAATATTCCAAATACTTTTTCCACTTCCGCCGCTTGAGCATACCGCAGCGATTAGAGCGAACGAAGTTATAATTAGCTCCGTGACCAAAGACACCTTAAGAATTTTTCTGATTGCATGACACCACCACTGCTTGTGTCTCACCTGCAAGTATACGGATTTCACCAGCTTTTAAATCCAATGCGCATGGATCTTTTTTCGCAGGTGTGAGGATGTAATCGGGGAGCCTCGATTTCATATTTTCAATATTGTTCATCATATTCTGAATTATTACATTTCATCCAATGCAGATTGTAGTAGTCTTACTCACTCTATACTCCTTTCGGTGTTTGACTTTGTAGCGAACTCCTAGTATTGGATGTGTCAAATTGGAATTAGGGTAGAGGTCGTCTTCATCATACGAGATAATTTGTACCAAGGAAACTACAATATATTGTAAAATATGACGCTAAAGAGTGTTATGTTTTGACAAATCTGTTGAATATGCAACTGTCTGAGCTCAAAAGAAGAAGTAAATATGCTCTTGTTCAGTTTTTTGGACCATGGAGTGCTACTGGCTACTCTGCTTGAAAACGACTAATTTATTCAAGCAGATGCTTGTCCGGTCGAAGTTTGATTACACCACAAACTGCTCCTTTGAGAACAGAAAGCATCAAGCCAGTCAGTTCTGCACTTTCAAAAACTGATCAAGCTACATCTCAATATTTTTTTTACGCTAAAGCAGTGTTGGAAGCCGTCCAAGAAATCTGAAAATTCCAAAAAATTGATCCAGTCATTCGCCTGAACATCTCTTTGGCAAGCTAACGCCATCAACTAGCCAATGATTGATCAACTAGCAAATAATTTCCACCCGGAGGTGAGTGCGATGCTTATATTAGGTTGATTCATAATCAATGCAAGTTTTTCGTACCTCTTTCAAAGGCTGCCTTTCAAAGCATAACCAACTACCCTGAAGTTTTAATTAAGTCCGCTTTTTTGTCAAGAAAAATCGATAAGAATGCACGATTGCGCCGCCAAGAGCCCTGCAGATAAGTCCGCCTACAGATAAGTCCGTTAACAGATAAGTCCGCCTTTCTAGAGCATGAGCAAGCGCGATCCAGCATAGATACGCGCGCAACT